TCTCGAGTAGCTCGCGATCTGTCTCGTCTCATTTACGGCCAATGTATGATTAATGAATGCGTCAATCTATCCTGACCCTTCTGAAACAAAACCTCTCCAGATGCAACCAACTCTCTGATCTTGTGGAACCTTACATCAATATGTTTAGTTCTAGCATGATACACATGATTCTTAGCCAAGTGAATAGCACTTTGATTATCACAAAGCAACTAAACTCCACCTTGTTGAACACCCAACTCCTTCACTAAACCAGTAAGCCATAAAGCTTCTTTTGCAGCTTCAGCCGCTTCCATGTACTCAGCTTCAGTTGTAGATAGAGCCACAACAGATTGAATAGTAGACTTCCAACAAATAGGCCCTCCACCAAGAGTAAATACATACCCTGTCGTAGATCTTCTATTATCCAAGTCACCTGCATAGTCTGAATCCACATATCCTACAACCAAAGGATTATCCCGCTGACTCCCAAAAACAATTCCATGTCCCACAGTACCCTTTAAGTACCGAAAGATCCACTTGACTGCTTCCCAATGTTGCTTACCAGGTTTAGACATGTACTTACAAACTTGACTAACAACATGAGCTAAATCAGGACGAGTACATACCATCGCATACATCAAGCAGCCAACAGCATTAGAATACGGAACCTTTGCCATATCTTCAGCTTCCTTATCTGTCTTAGGGAACTGTTCTGATGAGAGCTTAAAGTGATTCGCCAATGGAGTGCTAACTGGTTTCGCGCTGCTCATCGCAAACCTTTCTAGCATTTTCTCAACATAACCCCGTTGAGATAACCGCAGTTTCCTTGAGTCTCTGTCCCTGCAAATTTCCATTCCAAGAATTTTCTTTGCAGCACCTAAATATTTCATATCAAATTCCTGACTCAATAAAGTTTTCAAACCGATAACATCATCCATGTTCTTCGCAACAATCAACATATCATCAACATACAGTAATAGAAAAATAAAAGAACCATCATCAAGGCTCTTAACATAGACACAACAATCATACTCACATCGGTTGTAGCCAATCTTGATCATATAGGAGTCAAACCGTTTATACCACTGTCTCGGAGACTGTTTCAACCCGTACAAAGATTTCTTCAATCTGCAAACTAAATGCTCGTTTCCAGGTTGAGTGAAACCTTCAGGTTGCCGCATGTAGATATGCTCTTCTAAATCACCATGCAAAAAAGCAGTTTTAACATCCATCTGCTCTAAATGCAAATCCCAACTAGCCACCAATGATCCCAACTAGCCACCAATGCAAGTACTGCTCGGATTGAAGTGTGCCTGACCATAGGAGAAAAGATTTCATCATAATCAACTCATTTCTGCTGTGAAAAACCCTTTGCTACCAAACGAGCCTTGAACTTCTCCCCCTCTTTTTCTGTTACTGCTGGTTTCTTCTTATACACGCATTTGTAACCAATCGGCTTCTTACCCTCAGGAAGGGGAACTAACTCCCATTTGAGATTGTTATTCAAAGACTTCATCTCCTCAACCATGGCTGCCATCCACTTGTCGTTTTCCTGACTAGCAACGGCATCATGAAAAGTAACCGGATCATCACTGCTAACAATATGTGCAAAAGATACCAAGTCTTCAAAACCCAATATGTTCGGAGGCTTTATATTTGTCCGTCTCACCCTGTCTCTGGCGAGACTATAATCCTGCAAATCATCCGTAGTGGAACCACCAGAAGTCGGTTGAGAAGTTTCTGGTTTCTCAAATGGAAACTGCTCGAAATCCACCACTGTCGTGTCTTGCTTCTGCTGCAACATGGACTGTTCATCAAAAACGACATCTCTACTAATCACAACTTTCTTCGCAACTGGATCCCAGAACTTGAATCCTTTGACACCTTTCTTGTAACCCAGAAAAATGCACTCATTCGATTTTGCATCAAGTTTGGATATCTCATCAGCAGGTACATGCACATAAGCAGGACAACCAAAAATCCGTAAGTTATCAAAACTAATATCATGACCAGTCCATACCTCTTCTGCAACTTTCCCAGCCAGCGATGCCCTTGGCGATCTATTGATAAGGTAACACGCCATGTTAACAGCCTCAGCCCAGAAGTGTTTGGGAAGCCCCGCATTCAACCGCAAACATCTGGCTCTTTCATTCAATGACCTGTTCATTCGTTCCACAACACCATTATGTTGTGGTGTCTTGCGCACTGTAAAATGCCTCTGAATCCCACGCTCCTTACAGAATTGTAGGAACTGTGAATCTGTGTACTCCGTACCATTGTCATACCGCAAACACTTGATTTTTCGTCCTGTTTAGTTTTCTACCTCAGCTTTCCACAGCTTGAACTTCTCAAAAACTTCAGATTTTTGTTTCAAAAAATACACCCAAACTTTCCGTGAAAAATCATCAATAAAAGTAACATAGTACCTAGATCCACCCAAAGACGGTGTCGTGGAAGGCCCCCATACATCAGAATGCACATAATCAAGAATCCCTTGAGTTGTGTGCTTCGCAGTCTTAAAACGGACTTTAGTTTGTTTACCAAGAACACAATACTTGCAAAAATCGAGCTTACAACTTTTGACACCATGCAACAAGTCTCTTTCCCATATATAAGAGTAGTCACCATGTGTTCGTAAGAGGGAGGCAACGAACACAACAGAATCATCGCTCTGTCTTCATCCTCAATTTTCACATCAAGCCGAGCCATATCAGAAATGATTTAATTGAAGACATTCACGTGTTGCGCCAAATCGTGATCATCCTGCATCTTCAGCCCATACATCCGCTGCTTCAGATACAGTTTTGTCGTTAAGGATTTGGACATAAACTGACTTTCCAACTTCCTCCAAATTTCGTCTGGAGACGATAGATCCATGACGTGATACATGACCTCGTCCGCCAAGCATAATCGTATGGTTCCTACCGCTCGCTGCTGCAATTCTTCCCAATCTTCCTCATCCATCGACGCCGGCTTTGTAGGTCGCAAAGCCTTCAAGATCCCTTGCTGTGCCAATAGATCCTTCACCCTCGTTTGCCATAATCCGAAGTTACCCTGACCATCGAATTTCGTGACTTCGAATTTTGCTCCTAACATCTGATACCAATTGTTGACGAAAACGGGTAAAGAAAATAAAAGAACACGAGAATTTTACGAGGTTCGGCAATGTGCTTACGTCCTTGGTGCCTAGGCGGCGCTAGAAGTTTTATTCAATGATATTTTAGGTCTAGGTTATATCTCTATTTATAATAGAAAACCCTGGTACATAATTACGAAATCAACCTTGTACCGTACCGCGGGGCATAGCCCCCGTACCCCCAACCCACATAATTCGTAACCCCACAATGAGACTTTCTTTGTAAGGACAGTTGATGTTCTTTCCGCTCACTCCGCTCCATCTCTTGTCCTCTTTACTGGTATATTTATGAGTCATACCTAATAGCAAGGTTTTAGATGCCCATATTAGTGTCTATAGTCGTACCCTCATCCGTTTCAAGAAAGACTATCATGTTTCATCGCTTGCGTTGGGAAGCAAGCCGATGAAAAAATGCTGAGTTATTGTCACCATATTTTAACCAGTTGGCCCGAGCTCGTTGTTCCCATGTTTTTGTTTCCAACTCCATTTTCTCCACCCAGCACAGTAGGCTGGCTTGGACTGGGAAGACGCTTCGCAGTATCTTACTTCGTAAATGAAATATCCTCGTATACCGGGGTCATCACCACGTCCATTCCCCCTTTCATCGATGCAGATTGCACCACCCAAGCTTTCAATTTGCTACCACTTTTATTCCCAATTTGGAAACCAGAAGGAGACTCTTCTTCGCTCCCACTTGGAAATTCTTCATCAACTTCCTCTTCTCGAAATCAGGGGATCGAATTCAGTCCCCTCCTTTTCGGTGGTGCTCGAATAGATATGTCCCATTGGAGCACATGGTCCTTATTATCTTGAAGAATTCATAAAGGACAAAATCCCTCTCCATGGTCTAGTTTGTCGCAGAGAAAACAAAACAACCTCAGTTCCTCATACGAAAAGTTGTATACCCGTTTGACCATTAGGTAGCAACAGACTTTTTTCCTCTTAAGGGGCTTTCGAACATCCAAACCCACCCTGATTTTTGAAGACACCCCTGATAACCCAACATTGTGGCTTTAGCATCATAATCAACGAACTCGCCAATGAAATTGCCCAACTGTTTTACCACTTGTGCCGAGATGAACCTAACCGGCAAATCGTTTGTTAGAATCCAGAAATTCGCCCTTTTAAGTTCCACAAGCATATGAACTTCCACTTGAACCAACGAGTGCAATACCAATAAATGGGAGTTGAAATACCACGACCCCATCAGTCATGATTCGATTTGCATCAAGTTTGTGATAGAGACGAAACAGATAGAGCCCCTTGCCCAATTCTGTTATGGAAATCCCACCAATCGGGTGGCAAACATTTGATAATGTAACTCTCATAGCCTGAAAATTAATGCCACTGGCCGTGAGAAAACGTCCAACAAGGCAATTATCGAGAGAGATTGGAGCCACTTCATTCGATGGACCTAAAATAATTGTTTCCTCATCTTCCTCACCAAGACATAAACCTTCAAGTTCATGTTCATGAAATTGATTGAACGATGAAGTGTTTGGATGTTGGGATATATATATAGGGGTGTTAAAAAATCTGTAATCATTCTATTTAATTGGTTAATTAATAGAACCATTAATTAAACAATTTAGGTTAATTAAACGATCATTTACTTTTGGTGTTATGTATAATTTAAAGCCATGCAACGTACATTTACTTGTTAAAGCTTGAAATAAACAAAGTGCATTTATATAATTTATTAAACAAATTTCCATTAAAAATAAAAAGTAGTCTCTCTAGATATACAGAAGATGAAGAAGATGGCAGTGGTGGGGGATTTGTCATTGTCACTAATAGATGCTCCCATCATTAAACACAGACCAGTGGTTAATATTACACTAGAATCCCATCAAAAATCCCTTTTCAACCCCCTTTTTTCTTCAATTCAAAGCCAAGATGACCCTAAAATCCAGAGGGTTATCGTAGCAACAAAAGTGCAAAACAAGTTGTTAGTAAAGAGACCCACAACACTGCTTGGATCATTGATGCTTGTAGTCCCCTTCAGACCCAATGTTGTCCCCGCACCACCAAACACGGTGGTTGGAATCCTTGTGGTTGAGCCAGTGATGGTTGACCCTGTGGTGGTTGTCCCGTTTGGTGTGGTGCCTGTGTTTGCCCCTGTGCTACTGCAAAACCAAAAGTAATGTCAAAAAAGACAAATAACTTTAGAAATTTCAACATTATGGCAGCTCATTTGCATAAACAAAGATGCTTTTCCCAAAAGAAAGATTGAAAGTATGAAAACACCAGAGAGAATAATTCATGAGGGAAAAACTTCTATGAAAGCATACCTTGAGGGAAAACTGCAAGTTGAAGCAACATCTGTAAATTAGATAAAAAAAGGTTAGGGAAACCCCAAAAATAGAATAAAGAAAGTATTTCTAGAGACTTACTTGGAGGAGGATTGGGGCTAACAGCGGTAGTTCCTGAAAAATCACAACTATGTTGAGCTTGACCTTTCCTTTGGAAATAACTATTGACAGCGTAGTTGCAGTGATCTTTCAACAGTCTAAATCCCATCGGTAGGTGAATAGCTCTAGAATCCCTGAGTCTGTTATCAAATGAGAGGGATATACATGTTTAAAACATATTTACGCTTGGGGCAATTCGAGCTTGAATCGAGCCCAAAATCGAGCTTGAGTCTCGAGCTTCAATCGAGCTCTAGAATTTTTTTGAGTTTGAGCTTTTTCGAGTTCGAGTCGAGTTTCAATATTATCTTTCGAGTTTGAGTCGAGCTTGAAAATTTTAGGCTCGCGAGTTTTAAAGTCGAGTCGAGCCTACATTTAAAGTTTTCGAGTTCGAGTCGAGCTAAGCAATACTCGAGCTCGACTCGGCTCGTTTACACCCCTAATCATACACACGTAGTGTCAATTCCCAAGGTTGACAAGCCTAATAGAATCACGCAATATCATCCTATCAATATGTGCAACGTATTTGTAGACACCCGTTTTTGTCCAGGTTTACAAAAAGATTATTTATTATTATTATTACTTTTTTATGCAGGTCACATACAGTCCAATTACAACACTCAAACCCATCTTACCTGAAGCCTATATACAAGTGAAGCCCAAACCCGGATGACCTAGATCCAACCCAAAACCACTCAGCAGATCTGACCCAAACCGCCAAGCTTACCCGACTCGATTCTACCTAGGGTTTCATCATAACCCTAGGTAGTTGCTTCTGTCACCTCCGTCCTTTGTTGCTACCAGCACCGACCACCTTTGACACCGCCGCTATTACCTATAGTGACCAAACATCAAGCAATCAACAATCTATCACAATCCAAATAAAAAAATGCAAGAAAATCAAGATAGAGATAGGGGAGGCTGTCACATCCTCTGATTTCTTGGAAGCCAAAGGCCAATATTATCAAGCCATCACATGCAAATAAAGGAAGCAAGAGAGTGATTTGAAGATCGGGGGTTTTGAGAGAGAGAAAAATCAGAGAGATATTAGGGATTATTTGGGGTTTGAAAAGAAAGAGGATGAAAAAGAAAAAAATAGAGGAAAACCACGAACCTAAAAGAGCAAAAAAGAAACTGAGAGAATAGATCACATTTAAACCAAATATGGAAAGAAAGAAAAATACCAAAGATGGAAACATACCTTGGTCGGTTGTAAACTCTGGAAGCCCAAAAGGTCACCGAAGTCTCGTTATTTCTGTGAGGTAAATCATAGATCTAAGGCTATTGGGCTTGTTTTAGGTTAAACTAGTGTGGGATTTAGGTAAAGAACTAGGAGATGAGTGTTTGGGAGTTTTTTTCCTCTCCGACCACTGTGGGCTCTGCTGTGAGCCGCTGTGGCCACCGTCGATGTAGGGCAGCTATTCCTTCACCGATGAAGGAAACTTGAGAGAGTTTTTAGAGACTCTCTCTCTCTGTTTTTGAGGTAAAGGGAATAAATGAGGGGAATGGGGGTTTAGGCGTAGGTTTGGGACTTAAATATCCCAAGCAAAATGACGTAGCTTCGTCGTCCTCCTTCCCCGTGTTTTTTGGTTAGGGGTAAATCCCACTTCAGGTCCCTCATTCTCTGTAATGAATGAAGTTTCATTTTATTTGACTTTGAGCCTTTATCTTTTCACTTTTATATTTTAGTCATTATCCTATGTATTATATCATTTTTGTTTATATTTGATTCTGGTTTTGTTGAGTTAATCGATCGATGGAATCGACCAAGAGGGGGTGAATTGGAAATTAAAATTTTGGTGGAAGCTTTTGCAGAAAATTAAAAGTAATTGCACATCGATTTAGAGTGGTTCGACTTTCTCAACCAAAGTCTACTTCCACTACCTTAGCTATCCACACTAAGGATTTTCCACAAATTCACTAATTTGTCTTTCTTTTGAGGACAAAGAGTAACCTTACAACTCCCTCAAGAATATACCCCAAATTCTTGAGAACACTTTCTCCCAAAGAGAACAATACAAATTTTGCAAACTTACAAGAAAATCATCACAAGACAAGATGTTTGCATAATTCTAGAACAAAGAAAGAACACTCAAGAATAATACAATTGAGCACAATAAATGTTCTTGACAGCAAAAATGAATATTGAATGAAATAGGCTTGAAAATGCTCAAACTTGAGGTTTGATGCTTTCTCTTTGATTCTCTCTTGATTCTTGTTGATTGTTGTTTCTTGTTTTTGATCAATGGCTTCTAAGCTTGTTTAAATATACCTTCAAATGATTCTGAACGTTGGGGATGCTTAGTGGAGTCAATATAGCCGTTTAAGTGTGAAAACAATTAATAAATTCAGTTGGGAGCGTTAGTGCATCGATGCATACCCATTGTGCATCGGTGCATCAGTGTAAAATTTAAATATTTTTACTGTTGGACCCTTAGTGCATCGGTGCACTAAAAGTGCATTGATGCATCAAGTGCATTCGATATTTCAAAATAGCCAGAGTGCATCGATGCATAGCTGGTGCATCGATGCATCAAATGCATTCGATGTTTTCATAAAATCCTCAGTGCATCGATGCATGGTATGTGCATCGATGCATAAAATGGATTTGATGTTCAATTTAATTCATGGTGCATCGATGCATGGATTGGTGCATCACTCTGAAAAATTGATTTTAGGCTTGATTTTGGTTCAAAATACTTTGTGAAAATTGTTTCAAAAATATATTAAGTATAAAACACAATTTTACACATTTAGTAAGGTCTGAATTTGAACTTGAAAGACTTGGAGTAATAATTTGAAATTCGATTAATTAAATCTAATATACTTAGAAAATCATTTGTAAAATCTTAAAATTCATTTAAACTTAATTTGTTATATCGAAACACAAAAATGTTTTCAACAATCTCCCCATTTTTCATATAACAAAACATTTGTGTTATTTTAAAAAAATTTAAAAAAAAAATTGAAATCAATTTTGAAAAATTACTCCCCCTTACTATAACACTTCTCCCTTTTAAAACATTTAAAACATTGTAATACTTGACATTTCTCCCCCTTTTTGTTAAATCAAAAAGGCTCAAAAATTTAAACAAGGTTGTGAAAAACATTTAGCAAATTGATTAGTAATATAACTTAAACTGCTAAGATCACAATCAATAGAAACGTTAGCCATTAGTTTCATAATCAATATTCATAATCAAATGTGAAATGGCATAATTGGTCATAATGCAACTAATATGACATTGATGCAAAATAATTAATAAATATTAAGCTCAAAGTGAAAATTCAAATCAAATCAATATATATATCAAGTTTAAAAACCACAAATCCCTAATACGAAGAGTGAAGTACTTACCTCCGGATGGTCTAAACCACCAAGAGATCATCAGATGACGAAAATGATTGTGATGAGATCATAGAGTACTAACACTAGCATTTGGAACATAGGGATAATCTATAGTTTCATTTTAATTATATAACTCATCATCATCTAATCCAAAACGTGAAGCTATAATTGCGGGGTCAATAGTAATATATTGGCCTAAAAGATATGATCTAATGGTTATAGTCTCACATTGAGTTTCGTTTTGAATACATACCGCATTGGAATAGAAAATGTGGACTAACTGTTGATAAACGATAGGTTTGAGCTGAAACATTTTATCAAACTTCCAAGCTTTAAGAATCAGAAGGTATTCAAAGTTAATATCTATCATAGCTTGAAGAGAAGGAATACACTCTTCTCGGATTCTATAAGTTTGAAAAGAATTTCTGTACCTAGAGTACAATTCGTCTCTACGACGCTCAAGCATCTTAAAACAAGATCCTAATAGAGATGAAGGTGGAGGAGGAACGGGATTAGGAGGTTGGTTTGAACGAGAAAGACTCGATGAAGTTCTAGGGCGTTTGGGATTAGACATAGTTTAGGAATCGGAAAAAGAATATAACCTGCATATTGAAACACATGTATGCAATTTAATCAATCCCAAAACTCAAATGAGTCTGCAATAATTCAAGGTTCTCTAAATCAAATTCTAATGGGCATAGTTTTTGAAAAACTATTTAGAAAACAACGTTTGAAAATTATAATATGTATAGTTTTTCATGAAGACAACATAATTAAATAAAAAACATCAAATTTAAAAACTAAAATCAGATTTTCGATTTTTTTTTTCAATTTCGAAAATTCAAAAATTTATTAAAAATTTGTGAGTTTTTTGATGAAATTGGTTGTAAAATCTAGTTTATAATCATCAAACAATCAATACCCGATATAATGTTCATCCTAGAACTAATCTAAACTAGTCCTAAGATCAAAAATCAATGAAATAGAGTTTTTGAAATATTACCTTGAAAATTTTCGGATTTGAGGGAATGTGATGTTGTTTTGCACGATTTGATGATAAAAACAGGATTAGGAGTTGAAAAGCTTGAAGATTCCGACAAAATTTTGTTATTTTTGAGCAAAAGGAGGATTTAGAGAATGAGATAGACGAGTGGCTGAGAGGTTTAGTTTTTAGGTTTTGAACCAAATGAGAAAAAATAAGCCTTTTAAACCTAAATCCCGACGGATGCATCGATGCATGGCCTTTTGCATCGATGCACATACAAGGCGTGCATCGGTGCATCAACATGATGAATCGATGCACATTCAAAGGGATGCATCGATGCACTGTTAAGTGTATCGATGCATTAAGCACAGAAATGAAAAAAATCTGTTTTAAACACTCAAAATGCTAAATTAATTAGCTCTAGTGGTATTGGCAACTCATATATTGAAAATTAATCATGTTCAATCAATCAAGTTAATCCTTAAGCTTCATTTGAACATAAAATTAATTTTCTCTAAAGAACATAAACTCCCCCTAACTAATAGCAATGAATGCAATCAAAAATTATCATTATATGCATTTTTCATTTTATTCTTAAAAATGCTAAAATCATTTTAAACACTAAGTGAAGATAGGTTAGTTAAACCTAATTCTCTCCTAAGTGTCCAAAATCTTTCTTTATCTAAAGGTTTTGCAAAGATATCCGCTAATTGATGCAAAGTATCAATAAATTCTAGAACTACATCTTCCTTAGTGACATGGTCTCTAATGAAGTGAT